TGTGCTTAATTAGGGTGGCTATAGTGCTATACTAAATTGTTGCTAAGAATTAGGAAATATTCGTAAAATTTGATGTAGAGCATTGTAATGTTTAGTCCTTGAGTGTTGTAGTGCCCACAATGCCCCTATATTTGGGTGATTTGGTGTCGTAGGGCCTATGATCTTGAAAAAATTTCACTTAATTCAAGTCTATAGTATAGTGGAACAAACAACCATAACACCTTGATCTTCATCAAAGCACTGCAACACCATTTTATTGAGTATTGCAGTGCCATTACCTCTTGTGCCATAGCTCCTGATCATCTTCTTTAGTGCTTCAAAATTGAATTCGAAGCACCACAACACCTATACTTTCTATAAATTTTGAAATTAATTTGGCATAGTAGTGCTGTCTCAATGCCATAAATTTTAATCAAAACAATTTTTAGAGTTAATGGAGCACCGTAGTGTTAGTCTTTTGTAGCGCCATAGTGCCACCACATGTCACACGTTGCGGAAGTGGCTCAATTAAGAAATTGGTGTTTCACATTCTGATGATGAGCACAATGGTAATAACAACTATCTTTTAATCAAAAAATAATTCTTTACCAAGACTCTTTACTTCTTCAGTGTGATTATAGAAATATATGTAACTAATTTATTGTTATTTTATGACTTTGATGCTTAATGCTACTATTATTACAAAAATTTATTGTAACTATTTCTACTAGTATTACACTGCTCTATTATTACTACACGTGAGTTTTGATCAGTAATAATATTTTTGCTAGTATTTTTACTATTAAAAGAATAGATCGCTCTACTTGTTCTTATATTAAAAGATAAAAAAATTATTTTTCCAAATTAAATTTTGGGGCACTATAGAGCAAAACTATAAGGGTTTTGGTTAGTACAAATGTTCGTATGTATATCAAGTTTGCAGGTAATATATAAATATTTATTTCAAGTTATTTTCATTCCATTAATAAATATAATATGCTAATATGAAACAATTCTTTACCTCTTCCCATCAAAATAGGCCACTCATAAGATCGAGAATATTATAAGGATCAAGTTTGATACTCCCTATATATCATGGGGAAAAATACCTCGAAAGTGTATGACATACTATTTTATGAATTTGAGGTAAAACAAAGAAAAGTTATATAGTTTTCTATTCAAGTAATTATAATTCGTTTAATTTCGTAACTTATTTTTTATCATGCAAAAAAGATTTTCGATGGCTTCCCCAACAAAAGGATAAAATTAAATAAATTTTTAATCAGGGAGGCTCAAGTCACTTGTCATATATGTTTATTGATATTTATTAGTTAAGAAAGATTCTGTTATGAATGGGCAAGAACATTTAGGTTGAATTATGAAGAACTTGGAGCATTCTTGATTTAGCTAAGAAGAGAGAGTAATAAAACAAAACAAAATTGGGCTTCTGATTATGGGGCCATGGGCAGCTCTCTGTGAGCAAGTGGCTTAATTCCACATACTAAACATATATTATGTATGATAATTTTCTGGTAAATTCCACATACTAAACTCAAAATTATTATATTAAATTTTTATTTACTTTTGTAGGAACAAGTACTTAGAAGAGATCCTACAACTTTGGAGCCATATACGTGCACTATCAGCTTCAGGAGGATCAATAATGGATTTACCATAAATCATTAAAAGCCTATGTGAGTATTAAAAGTTTTAAATTGTTATTTGTTTAATGCTTTCTAACTTTATTTTATAAATTTTAGGAGGACTATGTATGACTTTGAAATGTGTAAAGTCTAATTAATTATGTAGGTGAGGGATCATCAATTAGATCAGTGCAACAAATGAATTATAATTTTGGGTCCGAAGGAGTAGGAGTAATATAGAAGGGGAAGGTCGATGTCCTAGGCTCACAAGCTTGTGTATATGAAGCTTAGGCTTCGTTTGGGACGGCTTTTTTACTGATTTCTAAAACGGAGTTTTAGAATAAAATTTTTTATTTTTGTACTAAAACTCCATTTTAGAAAGCAGTAAAAAAGTTGTCCCAAACAAAGTCTTAATCCTCTAGCACAATCAGCTTCTTGGATAGCACTATTGAGGAGATGTTGATTGGAAAGGTGGTTGCATTGATAGAAAATAATGAATGCATACATACAACATATGTAGGCAAAGAAGCAAATGCTAATGTGTGCTTTAGGATTAGTTTTATATTTTTCCATTTTATATATGTTATTTTGGATTGTTAAAAATAATTGCATAGTTGATATGATAACGTTTTTGATAATATAATTTCACTTCAAATGCTCTCTTTTGGATACATTTTTTTTATTTTGCTGCTAAAAATAATTAGTAATGCATTGTTTTGAATGCGTTATTTATATAAATTTAAGAAATTCATATTGATGTGTTGTTTTGATTTAAAGTTTTCCTAATTATTGCATCCTAGAATATTCAAGGCGATAGAGAACAAAAATTTTAACTTCTTAGCTTTGTATTAAGATCTAGCATACAATCAAATAAAAGAGAGGGTGTAGTGTTAATAAGAGACATCATAATTTTTACTTTAAAATGCCTGAAAAAGGGTAAAAACCACCGGGCTTGGCCTAGCTTGAATGAATCAATGGTGTTTGCATTCGATTAAAAATGATGTCTTGACATGTTTATTTGGTTGACATGATCATAATCGACGGGTGACAGAGGGCGGAAAGATCGTTGTCAGGTAATGGAGGGCAAAAGGACCATAATTTTCATTCAACAAAGGTAAAAAACATTGTTGTCTGGCAACGCAGTTTAGAAGGACCGAAGTCAATGGGTGACAGTGGTTAGAAAGAGTGTAGTCAGGCGATGTATGTCAGAAGGAGGTCAAAAGGACTGTAGTCGGCGAAAAATGGTAGTTAGAAGACCATAAACTAGCGATGAAGGTTGAAATGATTGTAGTTGGAAGGCGATGATGGTCGGAAAGATTATAGTATGGTGATGAAGGTTGAAAGAATCATAGTCGATGGGCAATATAAGTCGAAAAGACCATTGTTTGAATACAGAGATTATAAGGTCCATAGTTAGCAGGCAAAGGTGGTCAGAAATACCGTTGTCTGATGACGGAGGTCATAAGAACCTTAATCGGTGGACGAGGAGGTCAAAAAGACCGTAGTCTGGTGATGATTGTCGGGGGGAAGTCCAATAATAATCGATGGCCAGATGTAAGTCCAACCATAATTGGAAGTCAGGTGAAAGTCCGACAATGGTTGGTGGCAGGGCTAAATTCCAACGACAATCAGTGGTCGTGAATAAGTCCCGTGATAATCTAGAGATAGTTGGTGGCCAGGTGGTGGTCGAGGTGGAGCTTGGTGGAAAGAGATGTCTCATCTTTCTCTTCCTCTCTTCTCTTCTTTCTCTTCCTTTGACCTCTTTGCTTCCTTCTCTTTCCATGAGGAAGGGGAGGTCTATTTATAGTTTTTTAAGAATGGCATGGCCACTAAATAGGAGGGAGCTCAAGTGTATGTTGGGTGTGGTTTGAATGGATGATTGATATTGATCCACTTAACCGTAGACCTTTTACTAGGCAATTCAATGCCTTAATGATATCATAATTTGGCAATCTTGGGCTCATTGGACTTTTCTCATTGAGCCGCTCGATTTGACTATAAGAATGTCAAATTTGGAAATTGTTTGGTAATCCAATTTATTATTTGAACTTTCCAAAGGTATTTTGGGTCTTTGATTTGGACCTATTGGGCTTGGCTTTAGTCGAATTTAGAGTCGTTGGGTTCGTATTTTCGAGACATTCAATTTGACTTTTAAGTTTGCTGAGATTAGAGTTCAAATGATTCTAGATTTAATTTCGGAAGTTTCCAATTCAATTTTACCTCGAGAATGGTGCCCAATCAAGATAATTTTTTTATGATATATCACTAATACTAATAATTTTCAATTTTACTATAGGTTTCTGGCAAAATTCTAATGAATATTCCATTGGAAATTATGAAATAATTTTTCCATCACAATACCAATGAGAAAGGTAGGTACATAAACTTAGCAATCTAAATAAACTATTTTTGTTATAAAAAATAATCAATTTAAATAAATTATTTTTGTTATAAAAAATAATCAATTGAAGTTTTACTATATATATTCGTATAACTGATGAGATACTCCTCTTTTCTTAAATAAGTATTTAGCAATTACAAAATCAAGTGGCAGATAACATTGGAGTAGCCCGAGTGTATACATGAAAATGTTGGACTAGCTTCAATAATAGATAAGATTAGATAGAATCATCTAATATGTTTTGGTCAATAAAACATCAACCTTTATATGACTCAATTAAGAGACTAGATATATAAAGAAAGAGTCGTAAAAGAACGCTAGTTCTTCTTCAACTGGGATTTGTTGCAGCGAGTGTAATATGGCAACTTTTAATTTATTTACGCCTGTGCAATATTTTTTTGTATACATTTCATTTTTTAGGCCAATTACTCTACTCATTAAATGACATGTCAGCACTATTTTTCAATTATAATTTATTTCGGATGATTTATTAATATTATTAATATTCCTCAATTGTTAATGTCTATTGCTATCAGAATTTCTTAAAATTGCGATGTCCACTTATACATAGAAAGAATCTTAATAATGCTAAACCCTAAACATACACAAAATTTTATCCTACGAAATTAGTTCATCCAACGAAAAATATAACCTGGACTTTATCAGATTTTCTTAAAAAAAAAAAAAAAAAAATCCTATGCGGACACCTGGCCTAAACCCTAAACGAAATTCAAATTTTAGATAACGGCCTAATTTTAGAATATTACCGGACTTAAAACTAGATTTATTTAATTTTTAAATTGAATAGGATTCTGTTTAGATTTCGTTTCCAAATATATTCCAAAGATCTCCAAATATATTCTAAAGATTAAATTCATCTATAAAAGAAGACGAACAGTGAAGTTTGAGTTCATTCACTCACTTAGTCTAATTCTCCCATAATTAGATACGAGCAGAAGGATTCTCAAAGCCCTGCGATGGAGACACAGTCACTGCGAGTTTCGTCGCCGGTGCCGACGCTGGCATTTGAGAAGCAGAAAGAGATCTCCTTGAAGATTATGTTCAAGCCCCTTCAGAAGAAACAGCAAGAAATGAACGCTTCATCATCATCAGCCGAGATTCGTTGTAGCGAATGTAGCATGTCGTTTTCATCTACAAAAGCCCTGTTTGGACATTTAAGAATTCATCGGAAAAGCACAGATGTAGCCCGAAAAGCCTCTCTTTTACCTTTGAGAAAAGCTAAGCTCTCCGAAGAGTTCATAGCAGCCTGCATTCTCATGGGAATGAAAAGGTCAAAATTGGAAGCAGACATCGATGACGCAAAGCGGATCAAACTGAGGTGGGTTTGCGCAAAGCTAAATAAGCAGAGGAAGAACGTGAAGGAGGTTACGTCAAATCAATCTATGAAACATTATCAGAGAAAAATCTGTAAGAAGGTGGCGCCTTCACTACTGGCTTTAGCAGAGCAGAGCGTCGGACAGTGGAATAGAGAAAATAACAATGACGAAATGAGTGCCGGTGTGGTTGGCTCGGCGGAGATGGAGATTCATCAATGTGATAAGTGCGATAAGGTTTTCAATTCTGGACAGGCTTTGGGTGGACATAAACGTGCGCATTATAGAGGACCTCCGCTCTGCCGTCCGGGGAGCAATGCGAGGTCGCAGGCGACACTGGCTGCGGTGGCGACGGCGGAAGTGGTTTTTCACGATTTTGACCTTAACGAGCCGATGGAAGAAGTGTTTAGGGTTTAGAATTTGAGCACTTTTTTTTTTTGTGTGTGTTTCTGTTCAATGATGGCCGTTAATGGTAATTACTACGTCTGTAAGATGGATGTTTTTTAGCAGGTTGAATAAAAAATAATTTTTTTCTTCATTTTTTTTTGTTCTCTCTGCGATTGTGGTGAAGGATCAAAAGCCTGACACTTTCCAATTATTCTGTTAAGAAAATCGAAGTACAGGTGAGCGCACAAATTTAGAATATTTTTATACGAATTATTAATATGATTTAAATAATTGTAATAATTTTTTTATGTTATTCTTGAAGAAGACGACATTCAGAGAGTTCCGTAAAGTTAATTTTGAGATTCGACTGTTGAAAAATGAGGATAAGTGTTTAATTGAAGAAAAATGAAATGATGTCAATTTTTAAGGTTTTTTTATTCGGTTAGTATGTTAAAATTATAGTTTAATGTCTTTTGATTTACTAAATTCTCCAAAAAAATTCTTAATTGGAGATAATCAAACTTCGATTTCAGCAAACTTATAGTCTAACTAAACGTCTCAAAAAGACGAACCAAACAAACTTAAATTCGACTCAATCCGAAAACAATTTGATCCAAATCGAAGACTCAAAGCACCTTTGGAAGGTTCAAACCATAATTTTGATGATCAAGCGGCTTTCAAATGTGACATGCTAAGACATGATTTAGTTTTTTTTTATTTTTATTTTTATTTTTTTTGTAAAAAGAACTTTTATTAAAAATCAGGAAACGGTTACAACAGCTGAAGACACAAAAATAAAAAGACCAAGGCAGATAACAACCTAAATTGGGCTTAGTGCACGGCCGAGGCTTCCAGCACCCCCGAAACCTATCACGGACCATCCAATCAGGTGAAGTCAGCTCCCACAAAACAATCAAACTCAACGACCAACACTAAAGGTTGCCACCAGCTCGACGACAGGGGGTACGAGCCCTGGCCACATCATAGCCCCCAAAAAAATACAACAAAAACCTAGTAGTAAGGCAACCCCAAGCAAAAAGGAAAAAAAGTATAAAACAGCAGGATCATCTTCTTCTACGGCCCCTCCCACGAAAACGGCCACGAAAAGCAACCGAACAAACTGGTCTATCTCGTACCACAGAAAATTCTTTCCGATGATTTAATAATATTATTAATATTCCTCAATTGTTAATGTCTATTGCTATTAGAATTTCTTGAAATTGCGAAGTCAACTTATACTTAGAAATAATCTTAATAATACTAAACCCTAAACGTGCACAAAATTTTCATCCTACGAAATTAGTTCATCCAACGAAAAATATAACCTGGATTTTGTCAGATTTTCTTTAAAAAAAAAATCTTATGCGGACACCCTAAATCCTAAACGAAATTCAAAATTTAAGTTAACGGTCTAATTTTAGAATATTACCGGACTTAAAACTAGATTTATTTAATTTTTAAATTGAATAGGATTCTATTTAGATTTTGTTTCCAAATATATTCCAAAGATCTCCAAATATATTCTAAAGATTAAATTCATCTATAAAAGAAGACGAACAGTGAAGTTTGAGTTCATTCACTAACTCTGTCTAATCCTCCAATAATTAGATATACAAGCAGAAGGATTCTCACAGCCCTGCGATGGAGACACAGTCACTGCAGGTTTCGTCGCCGGTGCCGGCGCTGGCATTTGAGAAGCAGAAAGAGATCTCCTTGAAGATTATGTTCAAGCCCCTTCAGGAGAAACAACAAGAAATGAACGCTTCTTCATCATCAACCGGGATTCGTTGCAGCGAATGTAGCATGTCATTTTCATCTACAAAAGCCCTGTTTGGACATTTAAGAATTCATCGGAAAAGCACAAATGTAGCCCGAAAAGCCTCTCTTTTACCTTTGAGAAAAGCTAAGATCTCCGAAGAGTTCATAGCAGCCTGCATTCTCATGGGGATGAAAAGGTCAAAATTGGAAGCAGACATCGATGACGCAAAGCGGAGCAAACTGAGGTGGGTTTGCGCAAAGCTAAATAAGCAGAGGAAGAACGTGAAGGAGGTTACGTCAAATCAATCTATCAAACATTATCAGAGAAAAATCTGTAAGAAGGTGGCGCCTTCACTACTAGCTTTAGCAGAGCATAGTGTCGGCCAGTGGAATAGAGAAAATAGCAATGAAGAAATGAGTGCTAGTGTGGTTGGCTCGGCGGAGATGGAGATTCATCAATGTGATAAGTGCGATAAGGTTTTCAATTCTGGACAGGCTTTGGGTGGACATAAACGTGCGCATTATACAGGGCCTCCGCTTTGCCGTCCGGGGAGCAATGCGAGGTCACAGGCGACACTAGCTGCGGCGGCAGCGGCGGCGGCGGAAGTGGTTTTTCACGATTTTGACCTTAATGAGCCGGTGGAAGAAGTGTTTCATTAGAATCCCAGTACTTTTTTTGTGTATGTGTTTGTGTTCAATGATGGACGTTAATGGTCTGTACGATGGCTGTTTTTTAGTATGTTGAATACAAAATTTGTTTCTTCATTTTGTTTTTCTCTCTGCGTCTTATGGTGAAGGATTATTAATATGATTTAAATAATTGTAATAAATTTGTTATGTATTATCTAATAATTTATTTATTTATTTATTTTCTTGAAGAAGACGACATTAAGAAAGTTCCGTAAGTTAATTTTGAGATTCAACTGAAAAATGAGGATAAGTGTTTAACTGAAGAAAAATGAAATAATGTCAATTTTTAAGGATTTTTTATTCGGCCAGTATGTTAAAATTATAGTTTAATGTATTCTGATTGAGTAAATTCTCCAAAAAAAATCATAATTGATCAAAAAATTATAATAAAATAGATTATACCAACCAAAAGAACATTTGAGTGGCATACCCAATAACATCAAATGTGTCTTACATGAATCCAAATGATCCTAAACTCAATATTCAAAAGTATAATTACAAACATCACGACACTACTTGAGTGATCAAGCAATCTTCAACTCGTATAATTTTACAATTGTTATAACATAAAAAATTTATTTTGATCGGGCACGCATCTCGAGGCAAAATCGAGTAGAAAACTTTCAGAATTAAATTGGAGATCATACAAACTCCGATTTCAACAAATTTATAGTCTAACTAAACGTCTCGAAAGACGAACCCAACAAACTTAAATTTGACTCAATCCGAGACCAATTTGATCCAAATCGAAGACTCAAAGCACCTTTGTAAGGTTTAAGCCATAATTTTGATGATCAAACGGCTTTCAAACGTGACATGCTTATTGTCAAATCGAGTGGCTCAATGATCCGAATTCAATGGACCATATCGTTGAATTCTAAGATTATTAATGCACTCAAATACTTGATAAACTGTCCATGATCAAAGGGGATCAATATCGGCCGTCCGTTCAAACCACTCCATATATATACAGCCTTGATCTTTCTCTTATTTATTGATTATGCCAATCTAAGAAAATTATAAATAGGTCGCTCATTTCTCATGAAAGGGGGGGACCAATCATGGAAGAAAGGAGGGAAAGAAAAGAGGAGAGGAAGAGAAGTCAAAGATTTCTCATGCACCAAGCTCCTCCTCGACCACCTCCTTGCCACTGATCGTCATCGGACTTTCTCTAGAATTCTGCCTGACCACCGACTGAAGCCAAACTTCCGTCCATTGCTAAACTTTCGCCCATTGCTGGACTTCTACCCATCATTGAACTTTTGTCGGACTTTTGTCTGACGCTGAACTTCCGTCCATCACCGGACTTTTACCCGTTGCTAGACTATCGTCAAACTTCTACTCGATATCGGACTTTCGTCCATCTCCAAACTTTTGTGTGTCGCTAAACTTCTGCCCGACGTTAAACTTCCGTCCATCGTCGGATTTTCATCCATCGCCAAACTTCTGTACATCGCCAAACTTTCATCTAACTTCTATTCGACGCCAAACTTCCATCCATCGTCAGATATGATACACCGGCAGATAAGAAGAGAAAACTTCTTACTTGAAAGCCATCTTACTTGTGATATATAATATGAGAATAATTCTTGAAAACAAGATTAATATAATTGGTACTAATTCTTGTAGGGTTGGTATATAGGAGGCTATAGAAAAAATATCACATACAATCTAATGTCCTAACTTGCTTATAGTACTTGGATATGCATCTGACATGAGCACGCATGATAAATTATATAAGTAACATGATATAATGTAACATGCATATAATACACATGAAATATATGAAATACATGATGTATTACATAAAATAGAAATACATGAAAAACATTCTACATGAAATTGATAGGGTATTCGACATGCATACTTATATGGACATATGACACTACATATATAGCTTATATGATTGATAAATTGCAAATGATTAGAATATGAAATACATGCATATGATAGATGTAGCATAATAAATATTTATTTAATAACATGTATATTGATTTATCTAAAAGGTGAAATATATATGAAATATCTTGTAACATAAAGGTTTAGTAGATGACAGAACAGAACCTACTGATTGGTTATGAATTACAATGCTTATATTAATTTATATTTTTCATATGAAAAGACACTGTACATATTGACTACTCATATGACATGAATTAGTTTATTTCGACTATTACATGTTCTTATGGTTTTATGATTACATTATTTTGGATTGAATGACTGCATGTATATTGTTCATATTTTTTTTGTACTGATTTTAGTTGTAGGTTCTAAAAACTAGCTAAATTGTTTTCTCACTCTATAGTTTTTATATATTTGCAAGAAGAGGTTATTAACCAGTGAAGTGAGATAAATCAAAATCTTTAGTTTTTATTTTATTTTATGTATTTTATTTTATTTTTTATTGTCAGGAGTTTAGAGATAGATAAACTGATATAAATTGAATTTTGATGAATAAATATAGTTATATATCATGATGAATGATATAATTATATATTTTGATGAATATGATTTATAGTTATTTTTGTTGGTTTTATTTAATTAAAAAAATTATAATCTCTGATAGTCTAATCAAAGAATATAATAGATAATTCTTTCAGAATTTGATCTTGGGCCATGACACTTATTCCCTATAAGGGAAAACCCTTATAGTTAATTACATTTATGAGACAAATGTCCCTTAAGAAAACTTTTGATTAAGGTGTGACAATCAAATTCATGATTTTTAAAGTTACAATCAAGGATTGTTAAATTTTAAAATTTTCAAGAGGGCTAGGTTCAAACTTGGAATATTTTATTTTTTAAGAGTCAAAGAAGAAGGGGTAGGAGATACACAATTCTGGCAAGCTTAGAAGTATCTCAAATTATCCTATGGTTGAGCTTTATGATTTTGATATTAAAATATTTTTATCAGTTAACATTTTATAAGAAATTAAAAACTAATATTCTTAATCACAAGATCAATGAAATACTCAAAGGGTGAGGACTTATGATATGCAATCAACCTCAAAACATAGAACTAAGTTGGATACTACAAGGTAGTGGTTCAAACATGTTCTAATGAAGTAAGAAAATTTTGACTCTTTTGGACTTACATTTCGCTAGGAGTGAAATATTCAACTAAATCACCAATTAATCTTAAAATCATGATGTTCGATCTTGTGTAAATGTAACACATGTTAAACTATTATTTAATTAGAAATTTGGGATGGACATCTCAAAATCCTAAATGGTCTCAAACTTATAAATGGTAGTTATGCACTAAAAACTAAATATAATTGGTTTATAATTGCAATGTATGCTTATCTACTTATGCAAAACTAGGATGATATGAAATTTTAAAAAGGCTTTAAAAGTATATTTTATCCTATAGAGCAGGCCTTTCTTGAGATAGAACTACACTCTAATAAGTCAGGTGTTCTACCCAAACTAACAAGCGGGAAGGTGCCTAACCACGAAAGTAGAATATGTAATATAATCCCAGTTGAAACCTAATTTATGTTATTTGATAATAATCTTTCTATGTTATTTAACCTTAATTTTTTTTGTTATGCGAATTTTTTTTTTTATTTCTTAAGAGCCTAGCAAGAATCCATGCAAAAGCACATGCAAAAAAGAAACTTAGAAAAAGCATATACTTTAGAAGGCACAATCAATATTAAATATAACGTTCAACCAACCACCGATATATGAAAAGCAGTAGAGCAAGGTATACGAAATGTTCAATGTGGCAAGCTCTACTTAATTACAACCATTATTTATAAAGGCAGTCTCGATAATGTTCTTAAATTATAATACAAATTCTACTTGTAGAATTAATGTAAGTCTTTTAAATAAAATCCTTCACATTCTTCAATGATGGTATTTTTAAAAGGTTTCCAAAAGAATTTGCATATAAAAAGTTCATTCTTTTGGTCTCTTTCCCTTTTATGATAAAGAACTTCATTTAAATTTCACATTATTTTTATACATGGTAAAGGAGAAAAAGCCACTATACTCCCTACAAGTTAGTAAAGTAATTCATAATCAAATATTCAAATCAAATCACATTGCAAAATAACTAGGATACGTGTTCAACAATTGAGCAACTTATTTATTAGCCATACTTTTAATAATTAGGGGGTTGAGCAGCATAAGCACATGCATAAATTTTAATTAATTTTAATCTTTGATTATTTAGCCTCGTTTTACAGCTCTACATAAACATGATCAATAATTAAAAATATGGTTTGCAATAAAACATCCAAGTTGACCCTATCTCAAATAAATATAAACATACATCACAAAAATACAACAACACAAGCACGAAGGCAATCAATCATCCAAATCATTTACACAAATCCACCAAGATCATTTAAATTATTTGATTAACAAACATATCGATAGAAGTACATCGTCACAATAGCGCACCTAACCTAAAGCTAGAATTGGTTGTCCTAAAAAACAAACTTGTGCGAGTGTCAACCTATTATGCTTTGAGTTATAATTTTATGTTCTTAAGAATAATATTAGACATTAGTGTTGATTATACAAAAGACTCTATGTACTAATAAGTCTTAACGCACACACAAAATGCAGTTATTGCATCTGAGAAGATTGAATAAAAGCATAAGTCATTTTTTATTAATTAAGAATTGATTTAGAATGTGTTGGATGGATTTTAGGAAAGTTCATTTAAGATTAATTATGTTTAATTTAATTTTATTTTGAGTTTGATTTTTAATTCCAAATTTATTCCATTCTTAATTAATTTTATAAATTTATTTAATTTTCATTTCCATTTTGTGAATTTATGAAAAAAAAAGCAATTTATTTGAATCGATGTAAGTTATTGTTCTTTATAAATTTTAGGAGTCAATGGAAATTTATTTCATATTTTTCTGCTTTTTAATTTTTTAATAAATTCTCTAATTTATAAGTCATTTGTATAATTATTTAATTTGAGGATAAAAAAAAAAAGAAATATTTCTTTTGTTTATTGTTTGTTATATGTTTATTTATTTATCAAAAATAGTTTGGGATTTTTTAATTTCTTGTGTTTTTAATGAATTTTCTCAATATTCTAGTTATCTATTATTCTATTATCATGTTTATAATTAACTCTCTCTCCCTCTATCTATGTCTCTTATTATGTTGGTTTATTTTTTACTATTATTATTATTATTATTATTATTATTATTATTGTTGTTGTTGTTGTTGTTGTTGTTGCTTTATGTATGTTTCATTATAGCTTTTATATTGAATTTTATTCCAATTTAATTTTGTGTTTGATAACTTGATTTGAATTTGGTTATTGTTGTTTATTTGAGTGTTCATGTCTTAATGTTTACTAATTTTACATTAATTTTCATTTTTAAATTATGTTTAAGATGCCTACACGTGTTGCTACTTGAAATTGAACTTGGATGTTATTATTTTAAACTTTAATGTAATTCCATAACAATGGGTATGCCTTTCCTTCAAATTTTACTTAGAGTTTGTATTTAACTATTATGAGTCAAACTAAATTTAGTTTACTTAGATTTTGGTTTTAATCTGTTTGAACATAAAAGAATATTTCATTCAAATTCTTATTTGATGATTCAACATTATCGCGTGTGCACTCACAATTATTGGAATTATAGTCTAGGATATATATGAAAGCAAATCCTTAAATATTTAAAAGTCTCCTACCTACGATCTACATAGAAATGAAACCAAGTCAAAATAATCAAATATACATGTCATAAAGCTAAGATTAATGAGTGCGCATCAAAGTCATGATGGGTTATTGGGTCAAAGAGAAAATTTGGTGTTTCTACATAGACCTAAGGCTTAGGGATCATTATTCATGTACATTAATGACTCAAAAGATATATGGCTCCTAAGTTTTAAGAAACTTACTTCACAAGAGCTTTGTCCAGTAGATGTCTCACAAGAAAACTAGAAGAGAAAATCGAGGTTAGAGAGGTAGTTGAACTGAAAGCAAGTAAAATAGACTCATTTGAAGCAACAAACACTTACCATTTTCGAGCTCCTTTGTTGGCTTTGCTTTACAAATGATCTCATATGTACCTCGCAAATGACAGAAAGATACATGTATTAGCATTAAGTGATGTATGAAACCATTATGTGTGCAAACAATAGATTAAAGAATCAATGAAATCTAAATATTATTTGAGATATCATTTATAATATGAACCTTTTCAAATCAATGAACAGAAGCTATTGCTGATATAAGTAAATCTTTACATGAAGCTGTCACTAATTCAATGTGGCGTATATTTATACAAATCTTCCATTGCTTTTCATCAACATGGACCTTTAATAAAGTCCAATTGAGCAATTTAAGCTCGTCTTCCATTTGTGATATAGTCCCCCTGCATTAGCTGCTCAACATCCATACATTCTGGCGAGTTGATGGGGCTGGGATTAGTAACTTTATCATTCTTAAAATCCCTTTCTGCATCTACAACCGAGTCAAGTGAAGATGGGGGAAAGCCCTTATCAATCCAGGAATGATGCCAGTTAAGACAGAGGATTCGGTGGGGAGTAACAGAAGTAGACTGCTTAAGCAGCTCATGGCTAATGGTGCTGAGAATCTGAATATAGAAGCTTGATTCAGAGCTAGAACCTACGATGCCGGTGTATTGATCAACCATCTCCATGAACTGGCGACTGACGAGTTTCATCAATCAGAATCGCTTGGCCTCCTGCTGCGCTCGAAGTAGCTCCCGTTTGAAGTTCTTAAGCTCATCCTTGACGGACTCTTTCTGGATGTTGATTTCAAGCTGTCGCTGGAGGGATTTGAGCCGGCCGTATAG